GGACCACTCTGTTCGATGAATATATCGGTCGGACAACCTCCCGTACAATCTGACGAATCTGAGGTCCATGCGAAAGCTCACTGCCAAAAGCATGAGCCTCAGTCGGATTTGCCACACCTCTTAAGCGATCCTTCAGTACGCTTTCACAGTTAAGTCTATAATTCACAGCAACCCAGCTTGTAGAGCAACACATCATATACAACTTGGCGTGGTATTTGCCAGGCTTGCGAGGATTGTAAACAATTAAATACCGGCCATGTCGAGTTCTGTAAGCAGCACTTGCTTCTTCAAACGCCACTTCGCGATCTAGGTCAATGTATGTGCCTCCCGTCACTTTCAAAGCATTAAGAAGGGTGCGAATTCTAGCAGCCGGGTCACGTTGAATATTCTCCACAGAAACGTCGCTGCGGAAAGAAAACGATTGGTGGAGGAGTTTGAACCTCTTCAGCGGCATTATGTTTTCCAGGTCGAGGCTCGGAACCCCAAACATGTCTTCTTCGCCCTGATGACCCCAATAATTTGCGTATTCTCCTTATATCGTGATCTCCATGTAAAACAGTATGCCCAAAAACGTCATAATTGCTTGCAGAACAAACGACTCGCCAATGGTCAACTAGTTTACTTGTGCATACGCATTCGTCTTCGGTCAAACTTGTTGCCAAAAGTTAAGTGGTAGGTAGCCAAGAAAATTCGCTGATGCTGAATGCTCGAAGTTATATCGAAATTCATCTCTGTCATTTGATCCGTTCGCACGCTGCAATAAAGTCTCCGGTTTGCCCATGGAGGCAACTGGATTGAACCGCATGCTCTTGATAATTTCGACCTCTGTCAAACTTGTGGGAAGCAACTGCTCAGGGTAATAGGGAACTGGATTTTCTTGGAACTCGTCAATACAATCATCAATAGCTAGTGCATCATCACCAGCATCGCAAAGCGTTCGCCAATACAATGTGTCCGGCCTGTCATGAGAGCATTGTAATTGGTGTGACCTTTTTTGCCCAAATTTAGCGAAATATTCTTCGGCTCAGACTGAAACTGCGAATCAATCCAACGCACTTGGAAGAGGAGTGGTGTTCGCTGGTTTGATGCACTATTGCTTTGCCTATTCTTGTCCCCCTTTTTTTTTTTTTTGACTTAACGGTAGTGCAGATGCGGCCGACAATATATGATGTTCCAACTTTTTTGTAGACCTTTCCCTTCATCCAGCTTTCACGAGACGGAGATAACGCCAC